TTACACGTTTAACCTCCTAGTAGCCTAGCTGCATTTAGGAGATCAGCCTCAGCTTCCCATTATAACATTAAACTTAGAAAGACTATAAATGTGACACTTGTAAAGTGTCATTCAGACATTTCTAGGAAATAACAATTTTTTCACGTTTAGTTAATGAATAATATAGATATGGGATGCTTTTGTTGTGGTACCTTTTTAGTTTTCATGAGTGACATATGAAAATAACGAGAACAAAGAACGGCTCGTGCAGTCTGCGTTCAATTATATCTCCAGCCCCAATAAAACGTTTTGTTTTGTAAGTAATTTCCCCCCATAGTCATAGTGAAAATCGCGACTAACATTTTACTAACCTGCTTCTCTGCAAATCCGTGCGTAAGAGTGCGTTGAATGTACTTTCTTTTCTCCTGTAATAGTGAATGTGAATCAGTTCCAGACAGTCCTACTCTCTCACTGAGGTCCAATCTGCGACTGGGCGTTTTTTCTCTTTTCACCCCTCCTGTTAAACCCACGGTTTGTGAGACATCTGTCGGTATCACAGCCCCTCTTGCCCACTGCCCACAATCCATATACCCTCCCTCTCCTCCTCCCTTCCCCCTCACGTTGGGTGCATATTTTACTAGATTAGATGGGCTTTATAATGGGTTTTGGGAATAATGCCCCCTTTTCTTTCACTTTTTGAAGTGATCTCTATAGCAACCGTATTCCTTTGACTTGGAAGCTGGTGGATTTGCCTTTTTTCCACCTGCCTGATTGGTTTTAGCATACATTTCTCATTATGTGTGTGTGTGTAAAGACAGGGGTTACAGCAATACTCCACCCCCATGGCTGAAGGAGAGGAGAATGAAGTGAATTGTAAGCAGGGCCTTCGAATTCAGTATTGTTTTAAAAGACGTCCACGCACCGATCCTGTCCTAAGCAGATATTCTGGTAAAGGAAGAATATGCTTAAACAAAAAGTGAAAGATAATTCATTCATTTGTTCTTATCTTGACATCAGATTCTTTGCGTGTCTGCAGTTCACCAGAATAATGTTTCTGAAGCATATATGTGCCAGAGGTCAAGAAAGATGTAAGAAAGCCATGAGGTCATTATTACATTCCACTTAAAGTGGTCGGACACATGACACCCTTCTGTAATCTGGCTACTTGGTGTTAATAGTACAAGCAGAGGTGCAATGAGATTCTACTAGGCCCGTTTCATATGAGATCTAGAAATATGTAAATATATGAAAATACAAAATACACTTAAACAACATTAACTCTTCTTTTTCACCTTTTATAAAAAGCTTCAGATTCAACAAGTACTCACCTTTCTAAATGATGGTCCGCTTAATATGGTAACTTTGTAAAAAAAAAAAAAAACTGGTTTATGATTAGATTTGCGGTTGTGCACAGGTCACATGCCAGCTGTGTGGATAATTATAAGTCAATCCTTATGTAGACAAGCCATATGTATTTTCTGTGTTTTTTTTATTTATATATATATTTTTTCTTCATCACAAGCTCATGATTAAATCACACTGAGTGGAGGAATGAACCAGCGCCGCATTCACTGCTAGACACATGGAATGAGATGAAATGTGGTCGTGAGAAACTAGTTTCCTCTCCATAGTTCTGCATGTTTTATAGCACAACTTGCATTTTTTGTTGTACTAAATGTCAATATTAGAAATCAAACAACCTAACACAGGGTTTTACTGTCAGATACTTGAGAGATTGTGGTCTCATGTAAAAAAAAAATAAAAAATTAAATACATGTTTTATATCTTGACTGTTTTAATGATTTACATTCATGTCTAAAAATTGCACGTATTGTTTAGATTTCGGTCACACAGCTGGTATGTCGGTAATTTGTTAAAATGCCCAGCTATTCTGGGCAGAGAGTTCAAGGTTACAGAGTTCCCAGACTGTGTGTGCTGAAAGGTTTATGATCTGTGAGCTTTATGCCCCATAGAAAGTTTAGCAAGCGTGTCATATGTGATTAATCATAAAACTCATGTCAATAAAACAACAACAAAAACGTTTGCTCAGGATGCAGCTTTCTTTGGGAGAAAAAAGAAGACAAGCAGCCTCTAGTGTCTGGAGAATGATGGTGCATCAGCTCTTTGCATTTTAGACAAAGCCTGTGAACAAGAGGATGAGAATATTGATGAGAGACAGAATAACAAGAATAACATTTAAAAATAATAAGTATTCATGAAAGCTAGATTAGAAAAATAACTTAATCTTGATGATCTGAGTTTAAAATAAGATTAACTGCAGCGTTGAGGAGCTCACTTCGGGTTATTATTTATAGGAATAGTTAAACAAAAAATGAACATTTTCTGAAAATGTACTCACCCTCAGGCCATCCAAGATGTAGATGAGTTTGTTTCTTCATTGAAATAGATTTGGAAAACTTTAGCATTACGTCACTTGCTCACCAGTGGATCCTCTGCAGTGAATGGGTGCCGTCAGTTTCATGTTTACAATTGAAGACATGAGTCTTTCGCTCCTCATGTCAGTAAAAGAACATGTTTTTAGACAGCAGGGTGTTCATGGCTAAAGAATAAAAGGAAGAAGGTCAAGTTACAGGCCTCTATATATATGAGTCAGGGTTTTGGCATGTTAATTCTCTCAGGAGACCCTCAGTCTTACCCCTCCACTCCTGCCAGTAAAGCACAGTTTGAGTTTGCCCAGCCATATGGAGCACTGAGGGAATAGCCTCTAGACTTAATAGTGGTAGCACCTCAGCTGTCATCCCTTCACAACACTTCATTTGAGTAGGTGGACCAAAATCTCCTTCATTATCTCAGAACCTATAAGCACACATCCATTAGTTTGTGGTCTTTATGTTTCATTCTTTCTGTATTCACCTACTGTTATTTTAGTTTGCTAGTTTCTGCCTTGTATATTTATATATCTGTTTAAACCAGATCTAGACATCATAGTTTGATAATGTGATGCTTTCCTTGTATGTCCAATCATCTACTAATAGTATTTTTGAATGCTTATAAATTGAACGACTGCTTTTACATTATACAATGTATTATTGTGATGTTTTACAAGCTGTGATGTTTGGACACTCATTCTGACGGCACCCATTCACTGCAGAGGATCCATTGGTGAGCAAGTGATTCAATTCTAAATGTCTCCAAATCTGTTCTGATGCAGAAACAAACTCATCTAAATCTTGGATGGCCTGAGGGTAAATGTTCGGCAGCAGTCATTTTTGGGTATCCTGTTCCTTTAACTAAAACTTCAAGGCGTACGTGAAGATAAAGTCATGATTCAATTATTAATTAAACTTCCATGTTTTCAATTGAGGACACCTCTTTTTCACTCCTCGTGTCAGTAAAAGAACATGTTTTTAGACAGCAGGGTGTTCATGGCTAAAGAATAAAAGGAAGAAGGTCAAGTTACAGGCCTCTATATATGAGTCAGGGTTTTGGCATGTTAATTCTCTCAGAGACCCTCAGTCTTACCCCTCCACTCCTGCCAGTAAAGCACAGTTTGAGTTTGCCCAGCCATATGGAGCAGACTGAGGGAATAGCCTCTAGACGTAATAGTGGTAGCGCCTCAGCTGTCATCCCTTCACCACAACACTTCATTTGAGTAGGTGGACCAAAATCTCCTTCATTATCTCAGAACCTATAAGCACACATCCATTAGTTTGTGGTCTTTATGTTTCATTCTTTCTGTATTCACCTACTGTTATTTTAGTTTGCTAGTTTCTGCCTTGTATATTTATATATCTGTTTAAACCAGATCTAGACATCATAGTTTGATAATGTGATGCTTTCCTTGTATGTCCAATCATCTACTAATAGTATTTTTGAATGCTTATAAATTGATTGACTGCTTTTACATTATACAATGTTTTTTTAATACCAAAGTTGCTTGAAAATAATAATAATAATAAAATTAAATTAATTGCGTGATTAACACTTTAGTATATGTAACTTAGTCATGTGATCTTTCCACCGGCGTAATGTGATGCTTTCCTTGTATGTCCAATCATCTACTAATAGTATTTTTGAATGCTTATAAATGGATTGACTGCTTTTACATTATACAATGTTTTTTTTAATACCAAAGTTGCTTGAAAATAATAATAATAATAAAATTAAATTAATTGCGTGATTAACACTTTAGTATATGTAACTTAGTCATGTGATCTTTCCACCAGCAGATGTCGTCGCTGCACTTTCTCGATAAAGAACTTTTTCTCGCAAGCAGAAACTTAACCTGAATTAACCTTGCTAAGTGACTATTAAAACCCAGTTCTTGTTCTTGATTATGCTACATTACGTTAGGATAAAGTAATTTTAAATTGTAATTATTTTTAACGTACTTTTCATAAGTCTTTTTAAGATATCCGTGACAGTGTCGTATTCCCCATTCTTTGAAGACTGGCAAAAAGTATTCGAAGATAACAGAAGAGTTAAAAGTGCAGCATGCATAACTCTTTATATAATCCGTGGTACATTTACAGATGAATATTTTCAATTCCTACGGGTTCGTAAACCGTCGACAATGCCCGATTGACCTGAAGCTAAGCGCCGCGGATCTACAGTCAGATATTCACCATGGCAACGCAACCGAACTGACCATCAGTGCGCGGCAAAGTCTGAAATGACATCATTCTCATTCAAGCCAACGCGGATAGTGCTGCCTTTTCAAATGCCTGATCATAATTACGTACAGCAGGGCAAAATGTATTTTATGATTTAATGTGTTCTGCATAGCATTTTAAACAAACAAAATAAGACATATGAGTTCTGATGAATGATTCGGTTACATTTCCCGCTCCTTTTTCGGGGTTTTGTTAAGTTGTCTTTCTGTTTTTATTTTCTTTCTAAGAGAATGTGATAATTTACGACTCGTACTACGGTAAAGGCGTTGTTCATGAATATTAATTTGGTCAGGATGTCTCTGCTTTGGAACTGTCATGTTCCTAATTAATATTCATGACCCAACCTAAGCGCCCACTTAAAGGGGTCATATGATGTTGCTAACAGGCGACACAATGGAAAACAGCAACGAGGATGATGAAGGACAAAACCTCTGGTACGCCCGCACCCTCAGAGTGCCCAGAAGTGCAGCGGATTTTGCAGGGAGTTAGTTTATTTGACAGTGTGATGAGTTGCTTTGTCATCAGCCGGGTGCTGCCCAGACGCCGGTCCCGGATGAGCCCAAAACACTTGACATAAACTTATGTCAAAGTCTGGATCAGGCTAGATTTGACCTTTACAGCTGGCTTAATAATAAAGGCAGTCTTCGGAGGCGTTAGGAAGCAGATTGTCTCGCTTTATATGCTCATGTCATGCTTAAGTTACTGGTTTCTGTCGTGTGCTGCTGGCTAACCTTTGTTAAAACTCAACGGTTTACATGAGATCTGTAGTGCTCAAGTCGTTTCTGAAGAAGCTTTGCGTCGCTAATTTTCTGTGTACGGGTAATGATTTCTCTTTAGTTATTATAAGTGTCAGGAAACTGATTCCCGGTGTCTGTTTCTGGTGGGATCTAACGGTTGACTGACATCCAGCACTTGTGAGAGGCTCCTTGTGGTAACGGCCTTTTGCGGATGTTTTGGTAGCATTATAGTACATACTTACAGTTGTCTGCCGTCAGAACTAACAATCAGTCTACTAACTACCGTATTAAAGCCCATGTCTGTTGATCTCATGAATGGCAATTGATCGGTGCTCATTTGTTGTTTTGTTTTTCAGGTCTTCAATCCTCAGCGAAGTTTCCACACGCTCCAGCTCTAAATTGCCTTCTGGGAAAAATATACTGCTTTTTGGTATGTGCCTTTTTCTTTTTTTTTCTTTTGCTGATTTAGGTTTTTAATCCAAATTCATAGCTTATTAAAAGTTTTGCTTACAAATGTCGACATGCACATATCATTCAAGTGAAACAACCTTAAGTAAATACCTCTGAACACAATATACCCTGATAGCACAGGTACATCACAGAGATGTCTATTTGACGTCTGCATTTACATCTGCAAGACGTATTTATTTAGAGTGTTTGCTCATCTGCAATATGTCTATAGGACGTTTAGAAAATGTCTTTGATGTTTATGATTTATAATGTATGTAAAACTGACATCTTAAAGATGTCTATCAGATGTTTGTACTCAGCAGATGCTTTCCAGATGAAGCGATCTTTAACAGACATCTTGCAGATGTACGGTTGGAAGCTGATATTGAAGTATAGTTAACAAGAAATGAAAATTCTGTCATTTAATCGGCCTCATGTTGTTCCAAACCTGTATGAGTTTCTTTCTTCTCCAGAACACAAATGAAGACATTGTGAAGAACCACATGGTTTTACTTAACTTTTACTTGAATTGTATTGACAAAAATATCAAAATGTGTTCTGCATAAGAAAGAAAGTCGTACATGTTTGGGATGATATGAGGGTGAGCAAAAGATCACAGAATTTTCATTTTTGGGTAAACTATCCTTTTAACTTTATCCCAGTCATAAACTGAAATCATTCTCTTTGTCTAAGCACTCTTATTACTTAGGCTATTTACAAATTGTATTACTTTTATGTCATGATTTAAAAGTGATATGATTTCTGGTGATGTTTTAGGGGAGGATGGTTCAGGAAAGACAACACTTATGACAAAACTTCAAGGAGCCGAGCACAGTAAGAAAGGTAGAGGGCTGGAATACTTGTACCTGAATGTCCAGGATGAAGACCGAGATGGTAAGTGCATTTTAAACTGGGTTAAAATAGGTGATAAAAGATGAAAAGAATTTGCAAAGTTTTACCGAACTAGGTCTGTCATGATAATAAAACTTGTTAGTTGTCATAGCGGTGATTAACTATTTAATAGTTCGTTTTTTTTAGTCGTTTATTCACACTCAATATGAAATTTATTCCTATAATGCTTTGTAAAAAAAAAAAAAAAAATCCATAGAACTAGAATGACATGAAAAATAAGTTATAAATATTGCTTTTTATTATTCACTTTTGGTCTGTGGAAAATGCAGTTTATTACGTTTTTTTAAAATTTATAATTTACAAATCTTCCAGATTTGACTCGATGTGGCGTGTGGATCCTGGATGGAGACCTGTACCACAAAGGCTTGCTGCAGTTTGCAGTGACTGCTGAGTCCCTGAAGGACAGTCTAGCTGTGTTCGTGGTGGACATGTCACGGCCTTGGACCATCATGGAGTCGTTGCAGAAGTGGACGAGTGTGCTGCGTGAACATGTGGACAAACTGAAGATCCCAACTGAGGAAATGAAAGAGATGGAGCAGAGGAGTAAGTCCTGTTTTGCTTTTTTACTACTAAGATGTATTAGTACGAATATCTTGGTGTTAGCATGTAGGGGACCTTCAGATTCAAGTGTGCTTATGGGTGATTGCTTGTACACAAAGTCTACCTCCAGCTGTCTTTCTGCTAAACATCTTATTTGATTCTAGTGGTAAAAATAAGCATGCTTTAAATAGCTGAAGGATGTTTGTTCAACTAGAGGAACTATATTGTGAAGTACCATATCAACCCACATCAGGCAGAAGGGAAGGCATGGATGTTGAAACAGCTTACCATATCAAGTATGCTTTCTGTAGTAGAATTGTTCCTTCTCTGGTGGGTTTTGATCATATGTAAATGTTGAGATTCAGTAGCAGACTGCTGCATTTACATATTGACTTCAGGAGAAGAATTAGCAGCAGACAGAGTAGAGTAAATGACAGATTGTGATGCAGTAGTAAATACACAAATCAATAGATTTGATACAGTGGAGATAATGATAATTATTTGATAAATACACAATCAATAGATTTAGTAAATACACAAATCAATAGTTTTGATACAGTGGAGATAATGATAATTATTTGATAAATACACAATCAATAGATTTAGTAAATACACAAATCAATAGTTTTGATACAGTGGAGATAATGATAATTATTTGATAAATACACAATCAATAGATTTAGTAAATACACAAATCAATAGTTTTGATACAGTGGAGATAATGATAATAATGATAATGATAATGTTTCAGTGCTTAATCATTAGGACAAAGTTTTTTTTTCTCTCTCTCTGTTGTGAATTCAGTATAGGTGATGCTAGTTAGAAAGTCATGTGAATTAGTCTAGATCTAGGGATTCTTATGCTTTTATTAAAATTGCTTTGTTTTGTTATTGAGTCCATGAGTCCTAATCCACTTTTATTATGGGAGTTAGCAGGGCCGCCTGCACTGGAGGATAGTTTATTGACTGTCTGGATATGAAGCACTCTTTGTGGTTTGAATTTGCATAACGCATGTTGTTCAACACTTGCTGTTAGAATAAGAGCGAATATAAATGCTGCTTCACTAGTGTTAGATATGATTAAAATAATAATAAAAAATGTTTTCATGTACAAAAAATTCAGAATCATGTTTTCAAAAACCATGGTAGTTTGATACAGTATGGTTCAAAAGGTTGGTGTTGGTAAATTTATTTTTTATTTTTTTGATGCTTTTGAAATCAGTCTATCATGCTTATCAAAGCTGCATTTGTTTGATCAAAAATACAGGAAAAACTGAAATATTGTTGCAATATAAACTCTTTTATATTTCAATGTGTCTTAAAATGTCAGTTATTCCTGTGATGGCAAAACTTTTCTTATTTATCAATGTTGAAAACAGGTTTGCTGCTTAATATTTTTGTGTAAATCGTGATACTATTTTTCAGGATTCTTCGAACAAAAAGTAGGCCTACTTAAAAAAAAAAAAAAAATAGAACTTATAAATGTCTTCACTGTTACTTTTGGTCAATGTAAAGTATCCTTGTTGAATAAAAAAAAAAGTGAATATGTTGGATTTACTGTAAGTTTAAAACTCAGCTATAATAAAACCTAATGATTTGTTGATGCTGTGACAAAGTACTTGATGACTTCAGGTGTTTTACTCTGAAGACATAAAGCTGCTCCAATAGCGTTTGAGAATGTTTTTGTAATGTGATGAGAGATGTAGAGTGCTCAGACATGAAGTGAGAGGCTATTTCTGAGGATGACTGTTTCTGCTGGTGCCCTATAAACAGGGCTGTGAGCACAGAATAGGGAAGTGGCTTGGTGATGGTATTGTTTTTCAGCTTGTGTATGAAATATTGAGACCAGTGGTTTTACAACACATCTGAACGGCTATCTGAATCACTCGCTCTGTATCTCCCAGTCTGACCATCTTATTGTATGGCGTTCATCCTTCTATTTTTTTCATTTATAATATTACAAAAGATTTATGTTTACATTAGAGAAATAAATTACATCTTAAAATATTTTTAATACAAAAGTTGTTTTGCGTTGTAGTAATACTTCACAATATTACTGTTTTTACTGTATTTTGATCAAATACATGCAGCCTTGGTGAGCATAAGCGACTTCTTTAAAAAAAAATAAATAAATATATATATATATATATATATATGTCATATACACCTAGGATGCATCGGGGGTGAGTGAAACGCAACCTAATTTTCATTTTTGACTGAACTAACCCTTTAAGCACTGCTCAGATCAACATAGGAAGCACAAGCAGGCAGCCTCCTCTCACTCCTTACATCTGACCGGGCTCAGTGATGTCAGCACTGTAGTGGGAAGGACAGTCCAGCCCCTCTTACAAGACGTTGCATCATGGTCCGCTCAGTTAGATGTTCCTCACATTCGACTCGTTGCTCTAAGCAGGGTACAAGCACAACACCCGAGCACATCTCAAACCACTGTGCTAAAACATAACGTCTCATAGCTCTTAGTCAGCTAACACATTATCTGAATGTTTATTTTAAGTGTAAAGATGACTGGATGTACTTTGGAAGTCCTTTTTTGTGTTGTTCAAAGGCTAAATGTGTTTTTTTTTTTTTTTTTTTTTTTAACATAAACACACCTTATTAGTATTATTCTTGTTAATTGCATTATACAAGTTGCTTTGGAATATAAGTCGCAGCCTGTATCTGATGGCAAAAAAATTATAAAAATGCACTGTATGTCAAATTGTCTGCCAAATGCAAAACAATGTAAATTACGATGGATACAATCAAGAAATTAAGCTCCATCACCTCATTATATCAAGCCAAATATTGAAAACCCGCTATCTAATTGGTGTTTACTATTTTGTTTTTTGGCATCATGATGTTTAGACGCGTTTGACTCTCCAACGGCTTCATAGCTGAAAATCCACACTGGACTTGTGCATTATGTTGACTGTCCCCACCCTTGTTTGTAGAAGCTGGTCAACGTCGACAGTAGAAAGTGATTGTAAACTGGTTCTTCATTTGATTGAGGTTAGGTCACATTGATTAAGAAAGTTAGTGGTTATAGATTAAAATCCATACCACACTTTCAGCTGTCTTGTGAAAACAGGCTGATCAAGTTGTTTAAAAAATGTTTTTCAGCCTGAGTTTGTTGAGAACTGTGAGATAACATGAGGCAGTAGAATCAAGGGTATTATTTAAAAATGTGCAGACTCTGCCATGTGATATGAACTCTTGCTTATTGGCTATTATCATTTAAGAAGAATCACTAGATGGTAAACATCGGTTTGCCTTCTGGAGCTAATTAACATTTCCTAATGGACTCTTTGTCAAAAAGCATTTGTAACAGTTGTTTATTGGTTTGCTGGAAATGCACCAGATTATCTTGATCTCCGGCTCCTGTGGAAACATGCATGCACTCCACATCACGGGGTGTGGGTAATTGAGTGTGATATAACCAGCTAATGGAGGGTTTCATGAGTTATGACTTTCTGAAATATTTTTACAAATGTTTTTGTAAAGAAGTCTTTTTTTTCTTACCAAGACTGCATCAAAAATACAGTAAAAAGTAAGATTTTTACAAATTAAATAATATGCTTTCTATATTAATACATTTTTTAAAATGTAATTTACTCCTGTGATAGCAAAGCTGAATTTTTGAAAAGCAGTCATTACTCCAGTGTCCAGTCTTCTGTATCAATTTAATGTGTCCTTCCTGAATAAGAGTATTAATTTCTTTAAAAACAAACAAAAAGAACATTACTCACCCCAAGCTTTTTAACATTAATTTATTTTAAACTTGCTTTTAAGACAGTTGTGGTCTGTTATTCCAGCAGCTGTTGTTTTTTTTAACAGTACGATGAAGGAAGTTGTGCAGCTTGCCTGGTTTCTGGGTCATCTGGAGCTGCATTCTTAAGGTTCCTGAGGAAGTTCCTCCCCCTTTACCTCCCTCAGCATCTCCCGAATATACCACCATTCCAGCCACCCACTTCTGCACATCACCATCATGCCCTCTCCATATACTCCTGTGTATCAGCCCGGCAGTGAATAACATTTGTTTTTGGTTGCTGTTCGCATGTTCTCTAGTGCTGTGTGAGGATGAGGGCTTGTGCAGGGATCAGACAGGGTCTTAAGAATGTGCTGTCAGCTCTGTTCACATCTGAGCTGCTCTTCCACAGGCCTCGGCTGCTCAGATGTGTCCATAACAAGTCATGATTTCAGGCGGTTTAAGTTGCACTACAGATAATAAACTGTCAGGTTAATGCTACAAATCCTTGCTTATGCTAAGATTTATTTATTAGTTTTGTAATAAGATTTTTTTTTTCCCCCTTCATCATCTTTTTTGGTACAAATCGTCTGTTTGGGTCTTATGTAACCTGACTGGAATGTCCTAATTCTGTGGATGTTCTCTCTTTATTTGTATGGATTTTTGTTGGTTAAGCCTTTTAAAACTTAGAGAGATACATGGTATTTCAAACATGCTTCCTTGATGCATGAGAACAAACCTCAGTGGTTCTTACATGTCAAGCATGGTTGAGTTTCCATATTTATCTATATTGCTTTCAGTCATTTGATTTTTGAAGTACTCATACCTCTTAAATATATTTCTATTGTTGCTAGTAAGCTAACATTAGCTTGAATGCAGTCTACACGGTAGAGTTGTAACTTTTACTGGTCCACTAACAGATGTATTGCTGTGTCATTTAAATAAATTAAAAAACAGTTAAACTTAATTGGATTGATGTTGTCATCATCAGTCCAATATATTGCTTAGACACCTACACCTACATCTATCTATATATGATCTGCATTCATTGCTTATTTAAATCTCATGTCTTTTGAATTTGTTGCAAAATATAAATGGTTTAATGTGTAATGTGAACAGTAATGTGCAGTGGTTTGATGATTCTGTTACTATCGTCAGCTGTATAATGTAGCAGTTGACACTGTTTACTGTAAATATGTAAGTTAAGGTTGACACTGTTGGTTTCTTGTTCTCTTTTCTGCAGTGGTTAAGGCCTTTCAGGAGTATGCAGAACCAGAGGAATCCATGCCGAGCTCACCCCAGAGACGAGCTCCAGCGGCTGGGGGAGAAGATGAGAGTGTGCTGCTGCCCCTGGGAGACAACGTCCTCACACACAACCTGGGCATTCCAGTGCTCATAGTTTGCACAAAGGTGATATGTTCATTTGATCTGGCATATTGGGTCCTATTCATAGCATTCAGTCACATGACTGGCTCGAAGCCCTGGAGGGCAAAACATCCATAGAACTGCAGGACAAGCATGTCAATTTTCCATCTGTTTCACAGCTGCAAATATTTAGATCACCTCTCATAAGAATAAAACAAAGGTATGTGAACAAAATGCAAGTTTTGGCCATTTGCAATCCATATTAAGCACCCGAGGCAATATTTCAATCATTAAACAGTGCGACAAAACATTGTAAAAACACTTAAAGTGCCTTAATATATTTTAAACAGTAATATTCTCTATGTTAATGATGCATAGTTTACATAGGCAAGCAGATGAGGCCGGAATATGAACGCAATCCGCTTAATGATCCAGTGTTTTCCTTCTAATGGTTTTCTATGGGAAATCATTTAACGTGAAACTTTGCACATTGCGTTTATATTCTGGCTTCATCTGCTTGCTTGTACAAAATATACATAATCAATAAAGTGTTTACTGAATTTCACCTTTTAATATCTGTGTTTTACTACATTACTACTTAATGCAAACTGCGTAAAAATAACTGGCGGTCAGTGGAGCAAAACTTTGTTTTGCCCGCCAGGTGGGCGTTCCTATAAGGGTGTGATGTCATGTGAAAACTATCAATAGGTGTTTTATTGTCTTAAGAGTTAGGTCAGCATATTTGAGATCACAATATTAAAGCATGCTAGTTTCAGGAGTGGTGTGTGTATAAACAAACAATATTGTTCAAAAGTTTGGGGACAGTTAAGTCTATTAAAAAAAAAGTACAGTAACCGTACAAAATACAGTAATGCTGTGAAGTAGCATTACACTTGAAAAATTGAAATTATTGAAAAATACATTGCGGAACAAAGAGGTCACCGCCAGACAACTAGGGATGGGTATTGTTAAGGTTTTAACGGTATTACTACTCTTACCGATACTGCTTATCGATTCGGTACTTTAACGGTATTCTTATCGGTACTTTTTGTCTTATATATATATATGACAAATTAACATTGCTTTATATTCTGAAATGTAAAATAAATATTTAATGAAATGAATATAAAACATCAATTTGTAAATGCACCAGTGTGCAGGCATTTTTAGTGTTTTATACATAAGATAAGATACAGTAAGAACATGAACAAAGAAACAAAGTAAAACAAACTGACAAATACAATAAAAAAATATACAAATGAAATGAAATAAACAGTGCTGTCATTTTTCCATGAAGTTCTACTAACATTACTGTTCAGGTAAGTAATAGCCTACAAAAGAAATCTAAAAGTAATCAAATGTAAATGAACACTGCATAGTTTTCAGTGTATGTATTGATAGATTAATGCTTATTAAAGCTATAACGTTATTCAGATTAAGAGCAGATTTGCATTTTGATGGCCCAAGCGCCAGTCTGTCACTTTAAAACAATATATTGATACACATCGGATTTTCTCCCAACTGTTCTCCTCCACTTAAGACATAAACTGTGTTTAAGTAAATACTCTCCAAGCCAGCCATTTTGACATATTTTTGTGTGTATTTGATCGATTGGACATGCGCCCGAAGCTCAAAGTGTAATTTGTTTGTCCGTTATGGAGCGCGCCGCGCGCACACATTTCAGCCTGAGGAACAGCGTCTCTTGTGCGGATTGTGCTTTCAACATTTTATTATCAAACATGTCCCGCAATTTAGCAACAGTAAAGACGGCATCTTACAACAATCACCGATTGATCTGATTCTGACGTTAAGTTTGGGTTTAGGGAGGAACGAATGCGCACCGCTGTGAAGGGAAAGAATTGCGCTAGAAGAAACGCAGCTAGTTTTTAATAGCTTTACCTCATGTCTTCTTTTGTATAATCCTTAGAAGCCAAAATCGAAATAAAAAAATAAAATTAGCTTAATAAAACAGCCACAGGCCTAAAGTGTAAGCAGATGTTTGAATGTTTAGTTCTCTCTTCTATCATAATTAAACAGGGCTTTCATGTTGCGCGTGCTGAAGCTCCTCCGCGTGGGCGCGATCTCGCTTCTGAATTGCGAATAGCAAAAATGCATCATAGACAAATGTTTGAAAAACAGCTGGCGACTCTGGTGAGATAGAATAATAAATACCGTTTTGTGGCTCTTCTGCCGTGACAGATTGCTGTAGCACCTCAGTTCAAGCAGCACATGAACGATCATCATCATATTTACTAGGTAAAGCACAAAATAAACATGAATGAACATCAGAAGGTATCTTGTTTGAACCCTTTAAAATTGTCTATATTTCTGCATAAATGTGACCCAATTCATCATCAGAAGTCCTGAAAGTAGACAAAGAGAACCCAATCAAACAAATGCGACAAAAATATTTTCTTTGTCATTTATTTATTGAGAAAAATGACCCAGTGTTACATTTCTGTGCGGTATATTCTGTATATATAAAACTTACTGACCTCAAACCTTTGAATGGTTGTGTATGCCCTGTGCATAAATAGAAGTGAGTAGATGAACAATTTATGAAATTTGAGTGGATATTTTGAGTTGTTTTGCTCAGTGTTTGGGGATTGGGTGTGTTGTTTCTGATGCATCATTGAGTGTCTTTAACCGGATGAAAAGCTCTCTTTATGGAGTCTCAGTAGCCTGCAGGTTCAGAGCTGCAGACTCACCATACCCCCCTCACATGCTCTTTCGGATCAGAACACGCTCAATGATCTCTTCTATTGTTAGCCTTCCTCCAGCCCCGGGTGTGTGAAAGACAACCCGTTTTTAAATGAGGTAGTTTAGGTCTGAGAGTAAAATGTTCACTCTTTGTTCTGTTCAATGTCAAGAGGCAAAGTGATCAAACAGCCTCACCCTGGGATAGAAGAGAATAGAGCCTGATTGAATTTCAGAAAGCAGTTCCAATTTCCAGTTTACTTGAAAGCACAAAATTTGCTCTTATCAATATGCTTTAGTATCATCATTACTGATCTGCTAACAGCAGCAATTCACTGGCGTACTGCAATACCTTTAAAGGGATAGTTCACCCAAAAATGACATTCCAAACCTGTATGAATTTCTTACTTCTGCAGAATGTTGAGGTTCAAACAACATTGGACCTCATTAACTTTCTTTGTATGGTCAAAAAAAAAAAAAAGATCACAAGACGATTTTCAAAATACAGTCAAACCAAATATTATTCAGACACCAGATGTAATTTTTTTTTTTTACTAGTGGGTGCAGGACACTATAGTTCATTTTGACTACCAGTAAAATTGATAAAAAATTTGAGACCAAAAATTATTCAGACACTTTGACCCGACCATGTTTTGCTTAAGTGTTATCTGACATTATCAGGATGAATTTGTTCTGGCACAGTTTAACTCTGAGTTCTTGTCATATTTTAGTACCATTTTCTAAACTATAGCGAATAAACTGTGATAATGTGAGAAATGTTGAAGGTGTCTGAAAAAAATTCGGTCTGACTGCATCTTCTTTCATATATCAAGATTATCTTTAGTTTACTCCATTAATAATTACCATTGCTTTATCACATTTGTTTTAAGTGTTAAAGACAGGATGTTTTTAGTATGAAGTTAAAAGTTCAGCAGTATCTGTGACATGCAAAGATGAGTTTGCATTTGCAGTGGCCAAGACTGATCTGTCCGAGATATTTTTGTCATGGCAGCCTCTTGGATTTTTATGCAGCCTAGTTTGCTCCTCTTCTTCCTGCCAAAATGATTATGGATGGCATTCAGCCACAATCTGAGTCATTCACAAACATGGCTGCTGCATCAGTTTTTAGGATGGTGTGTCTGTCATTTAAAATCAGGAGATCAATGATGATAAATGGATGGTTCACAATAGAAATGCTGTTATTTACTCACCCTTGTGTTGTTCAATTCTAATATATCAAATATACTGCATGTAAGACAGTGTTTTCCCTTGACTGATTATCTCTGTCTTTGTCTTTTAGTGTGATGCTGTCAGTGTACTGGAGAAGGAGCACGACTACAAGGAGGAGCATTTTGACTTCATTCAGTCACACATCCGGCGGTTCTGTCTACAGTGTATCCTACTCAGTCTTAGCATTTGTGCTGTTGTAATCTTTTTCTTTTCTACTCATGCAGTACACTGTAAAGAAATATTTTGTCAAATTTATGGTTAAAAATGGCAGCTGTGGTTGCCAAAACCTCACCATAATATTTTAGGTATTTTGGAATTGTATATCGTTGCCCTGTATATTTTGCAACAAATAACTGTATATTTCAGTAAGGGAAATAATATCAATATACCAGCCTACTTGAATTACCAAGATCTGCTTTTTATGTTTAAAAAGTACCTTTAAATTTGCCTTTTTCCTTTAAAATAATAATACAGGTGGAAAAACAGAAAGTCACATGATGAATCACGATGAGTCCATTGTAAGTGGCCTGTCCATAAAACACAGCCGAAAACCTGAGAATAAACAATATAGACAAAAACAAAACACGGTCATGGTAACCTTCATGATGCTGAAAGAACAGAAAATGTAACACAAAACACCCTAATGCACATTACATATATGAAAAATGAGAAGAAACCAAATTATTTACATGGAATATAGTCACGTGATATGTCAAGCAGGGACTTCTGGGAACATTCTTTTACAGTTTTTCATCATAAACAACTTTTTTTTTTTTTACATTGAGATGACATTGTGATTTTTTTTAACATTTACAGTTTTTCACCATATATATATATTTTCTATAAAAATTGCAAACATTTTTTTACAGTATACACATCCTTAATCGCATCTCACAGATGGAGCTGGCTTGATTTACTCGTCGGTCAAAGAGGAAAAGAACATGGGCCTTCTCTACAAATACATGGTGCACAAAATATATGACTTCCAGTTTACTACGCCTGCCTTAGTAGTGGAGAAGGATGCTGTGTTCATGTGAGATCTCCGAAATCCCCTAAAAACATTGCATTTCTCATCTTTTTATGTGAGAATATCCATGTCTAATTCAGTTTGGTGTCAATCTGTCAAACTGGTTTCTGTTAAAACATTTTATCTCGGCGTAGTCCATCCGGATGGGACAATGACAAGAAAATTGCCATCCTGCATGAAAACTTCACAACGGTTCGACCTGAGGATCCCTTTGAGGACTTTATAACAAAACCTCCTGTACGAAAGGTGAGAAAAAAACCTAGGAATGAAAATGTTACCTTAATCTGCTACTGCTTATATAACATTTGCCCTTTTCTTGTTTCTAAAGTTGGTGCATGACAAAGAAATCAGTGCAGAGGATGAGCAGGTCTTCCTCATGAAGCAGCAGGTATGTTTGGACTACAAGAAAACAGACTGCAGATTTAGGATCAGGTTTCTTCATTCAGTGCTGAGGTTACACATTTGAAAGGCAGCCGAAATCAAGTGATCTCTACTCTGACGTCGACATGCATCCCTCACAAAGCTCTCCCGCTGTCCTTCGTTTGTTTATTCTCCCTCGTGGTTCCAGAGTTGTCTGACCAATCAGGAGCTGGTGATGCCTTCTTATTGTTTTCATTGACTGACCCAGGGTCAGATATGCAGTATACTCTTTACATACACAATATTTGGTCGTTTAAAACGATAATTTTGTTTTAATGGACATTGCAAGCCAGCTTCTTATATGCTGGCACATTCTCCTGAATTTCACTGTGGGTCTTGTCATATATCTTGAACGGCTCCATGTGGTTAAATCAATTGTGAATGGTGTTTATGCAAGGGGGTTTTATTGAGAATGGTCTTTAACACAATAGTAGGCTGTATGTACACTGTCACTGCTGTTCAGCAGCTCCTTTTGATTTTTTGTCTTTGAAATGAAAAGATCGCTGTGTGACTGCATACAAACAATGTGTTGTGTATCACCTAGATGCACAAAAAAAATTGTGAAAAAAACAGCAATTGTAAAAATAGTAAAAAAAAAACGGCAATATTATGAAATATCATTACAATTTAAAATAACTTTTCTATTTTAATATATTTTATTATTTAATATTTTTTATCATTATCCCTGTGTTGGCAAAGCTGAATTTTCTGCAGCTTGGAAACTGATTTTTTTTCAATAGAAAGTTCAAATGAACTGCATTTCTTTGAAACTGAAGTGTTTTGTAACACACAAATGTCATTTAGTTTCACTTTTATTCAATTTAATGCATCATTGGTTGTTACATAGGGACACGATACCACATAATCGGCTCAGACCACAAAATGTATCAGACCCATTCGAATTCTACACAGAATGCTATATTTTATAGTGATATGGATGAGATTAGGAGGAGAAACTGTTAGACAGACTCGCTATTAGAACTGATGAGTAGAAGATAACACAGATGCCATTCACCAATATATGACACACTTTTCAAGCTACACATCCTCAGCATGATTATGACAACTGTTTTGCTTTAGTAACATTTTCATATTGAATCTAAAGGGTTAATCCTTTAGGCTGTCATAAGCTATCGAATGCGGCTTTTCCGAGCTCAATGGCTCTGGCCCGAGCCGATATAAAAGAAACATTGGCTATTGGCTACTTAAAAAAAGTGGGCGGGGCTGCTCTATGTCTCGCACTGTCTTCCTGTTTCAGTTGATATTACATCACCACGTAGAATAACGCTGCGCCTTTCAAGGCACTTCAATGGACCTTTAAAAATGTCTTTACAAAAAATGACTGGCCCCAAACGTTTGAACAGTAGTGTACATGGTTACATGTTTTACACAGCAATATTTCAGCTCTCATGTCTTCTGTCTCTTTATTACAGTCATTGTTAGCCAAGCAGCCGGCCACACCAACAAGAGGAACAGTAAGTGTGACTTCACTACAACACACACACCTCTCACACTTTTAAGTGTGATTCTATTATGCTGCTTTGAGGATCCTGTGATAATGTTGTGACACTAATGCTTTACAATTTTACAAAAGCCACTGAATCCTTTAGCTTTTTTTTTTTAATTGCTCTTAAGTTTTGTTTTTAATGGTAATTTCATGTAGTGGGAAATACAAATCTGCTGAATTGTTTTTGAAATCTCCTAACACCTGATTTTTCTTTTTTGCGTGTGCGCGCATAGGAGTCTCCTGCCCGGACTGCATCTGGCTCACCCCGGCCGACAAGCCGGACAGGGCCCACCAATGTGGCTAGTGTCTCACCCATGACTGCAGTGAAGAAACCAGACCCTAACATGAAAGGCAAGAAATCTTACCTGGCAAGATTACACACACCACAAAACCTAAATGAAGCTTTGTGATCTCATGGCTCTCTATTCATCAGGCCGGCAAGCAGTGAAGCGAAAACACAGTGTTTTCGTGAGAGTCTAAATATGAGCACTTTGTTCTCTCACTCTTTCTCTCTGTGTTCTTTTATTCTCTCTCACACTAATCTCATTTTGCTGGTTCATCCCTCTGCCTCACAGTCTAACCTCTTTAAAACTGCCCTCCTGAGGAGAATGTAGGAATATGAAATGACATTTTCCGATCACAAAGCTCAGCTGGACAGCATGTTTCATACCAGTAGGAATAGATTCAGTCGTTTTAAGTAAATCAACTTTAATTGAATTCTTAAACCTTCCCACCCTGTAGGGTAACATATTTTACTTTTTTTTTAAAATGGTTTCGATGAACGATTATGAAAATGCAATAATCAAGATAAAACGATTATTGCGCCCCATTCCGCCCCCTTTCTAGCGGTGCGCTTTCGCTCCTCCATAAAAGCCCAATTTCACATGCAAATCAGTAAAATCATATAACGTGACTTTTGCAAAATGGGACGTGCTTGATTTATTAAAGTTGATTAGTTAACTTTTTTAGCTTTTTTAAAGTAAATTTAATTCTTACAGTGAAGACTATGCTGTTTTATTTTACATTAGATTATTTAATTTCTGTAGTAGGCTGTTAGCTGAATACTTTAGACTTGCATAAAAAACTTAAAAGCACTGTTTGTTTCATTTATATATATTTTTTCTATTGTATTTGTCCTTTGTTTTTTTGTCATTTGTTTTTTTATTGTATTGTTGACAGTTTAATTATTTTCGATAATTTGAGGACTTTTTTTTGTTTCTTATTAATTTAATAATTAATAATAATTTTAATAATTTAATAATAATAATTTATGCATTTAGCAGACGCTTTTATCCAAAGCGACTTACAGTGCATTCAGGCTATACATTTTTTACCAGTATGTGTGTTCCCTGGGAATCGAACCCACGACCTTTTGCGCTGCTAATGCAATGCTCTACCACTGATTATTATTCATACAAGTTACCCTAGTATTCTGCTGTGGTATTGAGAATTGTGAAATTTCACTGGTCTCTAAAATGTAGATGTCATAGCAAACATATTTACAGAAAATACATATTTGATATATATTGGTATCTTAAAGGGGTCATATGATGCTTTTTTAAAGATCATTATTTTGTGTATTTTGTGTAACAGAATATGTTGACATGCTTTAATGTTCAAAAAACACATTATTTTTTAAATACTGTACATTATTGTAGGTCCTCTATGCCCCGCCTCTCTCAAACGCTTCGTTTTCTACAAAGCCCCCTCCTTTTTTGAGACTTTAGTCTTTGCAACTTCAGGGATCTTATCTATGCACAATCAGCTTGTAACACTCCAAAGAGAAAGGAAAACTTGAAATCGCATCATATGACCCCTTTAATAAATCACTCATATAAAATTTTGGTCATGTGGCCCACTCATAATCATGTTAAATAATCGTGATTACAATATTGACCAAAATAACCGTGATTATGATTTTTGCCATAATCGAGCAGCCCTCATTTTAGTTGATGTCAATGAAGCCCAGGAAACATACTAAGCCCTTTCAATATCATAATTGTGGTAATTGTAAATCTTGGATGTGTGTTTGCTTTTGAACACCTCACAGTGCAAATGAATATCGTTTGGACATTGCCAGCTGAGGTCATTATATTTCGTTTGTGTGTTTATAGGAGCAGCAGCGAATGAAGGAGTGCTGGCCAACTTCTTCAACAGTCTGCTGAGTAAAAAGACGGGTGTGCCGGGCAGTCCTGGGACACCAGGGGCGGCAACAGGAGCAGGCGTACAAGGCTCTGCCAAGAAATCAGGTAAATTCTTCCTTTTCCAGCCTCAACCCCAGGAACAGGTGTATCTCACAAAAAAAACAAAAAAAACAACTGTCATGTGTAGGTCATATTTCACCCTAAAATCATAAGGGGGAAGGGAAAAAGGCTTATATTTTGCATAAAGAAAGTCTTTATTTAATACAATATTTTATTGCAGTGGGTAAGATTTTTTATATTTATTTTTCATTTATTATTATTATTTATTTATTTTTAGCAATTATAGTTTTTGAAAATAATGTAAAAATGCAAACAATCCTAATTGTCCAAAAAATTGGCCTTTGTTCTTAAATCATGTTTGATTTGCATGAAATGGCTGTGCACCAACTCAAGATACTCCTGACAAAAAGTTATGAAAAAAAAGATTATTTCATATTGAATCACTTTGGAAACATAGTCCAGTATATTTGTGGCTTTGGTCTGTAGTAGTGACTAATTGGCCTATATCTTTTGAATACAGTTTCTCAATTTCACAAAACTTGGTATACATTAACAACAGGACAATCTGAGAATGCACCCCCTCCCACCCCCGCGTGATTTTTGGTTGAATTATGATCTGTACAATCATTCATGAGATTCACCTGATCACCTTCTGTCATAATGTTCTTTTGTTTCCTCTGGACAATGCTGTTCTTTGGAGTTTTACCCTTAGAGCCAGAGAGAATAACCAGGAGAAATGGGCTGAAAAGCCTGTGTGAGTGACGTGGCGTGATATGGATGGTGATATCTCATACTCACTGGTTTTCATACCTAAGATGATGTCGAGTTCATACCAACTGTACTTTTCATTCTTTGATATTTAGTTTCAGTTGTTTACATGAATTGCTAATATATTAACACAATTCTGTGTTCTTTACCTGCTGTTATGGCCCCATCATTTAAATGACATTGTGCTCGGATAAAGAACCGCATGCAGTTTTTTAAAATATTTTTTTTATTTGCCTTTTCATGTCTTTCTCATTAAGTTTGCTGCCCACACAGCATGCTGCTTTTGAATGCATACCAGCATGCAGCACTCATCCACATCCACTGAGCTGGTTCCCACATAACCATAAACAACCTGTGTTCTTTTTATATATATATATATATATATATATATAACACAGAAACTACAGGAGATTACTCTGTTTTTTCTTTCTCTTCTTTCTTCCAGGGGCAGAAGCCGGGTTTGACTGACGTACAGGCGGAACTGGACCGAATGACTCGTAAACCTGACTCAATGGTAACGGCCAACAACACCCCTGCGACAGAGAACGAGGCATGAGAGCGCCAGCAGCATTGTCCACTCTGGAAATCAACATGTAATGACATAAAGGAGAAAAAAAAAGCTATTCATGACCAAAATTCCCCCCACCTTGTGTGTCAATCAGCAAACAGACCGTGGTTTACCGAAAGTGTTGGGATTCTATCAGATGTATAGGCTCTGGTGTTGTGGGGGAAAGAGAGGTAGATATTTGAAAAGATGCAACTGCTTTTCTTTGTTTTCATTTCCAGACCCCTTTCTATGTTCGTTTTTTTGTTTATTTGTGGTGATTAATTTTTGGTGTGGCATATGGCAGGTCAGGTAATGGGTGCTCTCTCCTTAAGGAGGCAGTCAAACCTCTGAAGTGTGGGGCCTTGCTTAGCTTGGGGAACCTTAAACAGCACCCATTCCCCTCCTCCTGACAAGAGCAGAAACGCACTGCTGCATTCAATGAGCAGTCGCTTCAAGTGTTGCAATCAGCTACAACTACTGCTAAAATCCTAAATATATTCATTGAAAACAAGAAGTACTTGCACAAAGTATATAGTGTGTACATTTATGCTGATGTATTTATAACAAAGCAAATCAAGCTTTTATTTTCTTTCTGTGTTTTATCAGTGAGACGTTAAGCTTCCCTTAAAATGGTTAACATCACTGATGTCATGACACTAATGACAAATACCCATTGGACTTCAGCATACAAGAATGGCAGATGCTGCCACACCGCCTCTTTGAATTATGTAAATATGCGCAAAACATTCGCTATACAAGCTTTGATTTGATTTTGTATAAAATTGAGTTATTTTAACAATTTATGAAGAACTATTTCAGATGAAACAAGCATTGATGAGTATCAGGCCGAACGTTTTCTTTTGGCTATGCTTGGTTTTGGAGGAGAGGAGCAGGGCAGCATCTTTCCTAGTAGAACTCCCAAGTGCCTGTGTCATAGTGGAGGTGCTTGTTTCCAAAAGAGGAATTGCACTGTAGCATCAACAGTCAATAGTTTTTTTTTTTTGTTTTTTTTTGGTTCAACTTGTAATTTATTTATTTTTTTGCTATTTTATTTTGAAAATGAATTTCTGTGGTCATTGCTTTTTTGTTAAAATTACACATTTTGCTTACTTCAGTGGCCTAGATACTTTTTTTTTTTGCTGCCATAGGGAGCTTGCCTTTCTTTTTGCGAATGTCAACATTGTCCACATAAAACGTGTTTCGCATCTGACATTTCGTCCCACCTCCCAGTTGGAAATTGTGGCTTAAACCACTAGCGCCGCTTCATGTGGCCAAGTGACAGACTGTACGTCGTGTCTTTTGTCAGTCCTTACAAATGAGATCTCAGATTTGTTTGCTAGCACTTTTTTTTTCATATAATTTGAGGACTGTATAGTGATTCATGTAAAACATTCCGGTTGCTTCGTGTGCCCTGCCTCAGTGCCCACTGGAAGTGATGACTTTGCCTTCAGTGTAGCGTTCACTGTTGTCACTCCATATGCTCTGTCTCTTCACTCAGGGTAGGTCTGAGTCCATACAACAGCCTTGTCCGTCTTCATAGTACATTTCTCAACATTTTCTTCCACTACTGATACTGTATCATATTCCTGGTTCTAGCTAATTGTTTTAAGATGTTCTTTTTCTTTTCTTTTTTTTTTTTTTGGCCGCTGAAAATGAAACTAAGTTAGTTGGGTTAGCTTGACAAATCATCCACAGACATGATGTAATGGTTTTCTTAAGGTTTTTAACCTTAATGTTGTAGTGGAGAAACTGTAAATGGAGCAGCTAAAGTGGCTTTTAAATGATCATTACATTTTTTTAGCTGAAAGAGGAAAATGCAGAGAATTGGAATCTGGAACCAAAGATGTAGAATCCACATGTTATGTCAGGTTGGAGTCGCTGCCCTAAATTCCTCCCAGGTTGCCGCTCTTGGCTGAGCCTGGAGAAGACATCATTCCAAAACTGATCCTCTGCTTACTGTGGTGGTCTGTGTTCAATGTCAGATATATATATATTTTTTCCATTAGAGTTTGAAGTCCTTGTTCTTTTTTTTAAGCTCTTCAAGGGAATAGACCACAAGTCGTGTAGTGTTTACTGTTATTTTGCATGAATTAATGAAATATGAAAAGAAAAATCTCATACCAAACTAGAGATAAGGAACTCGAATGAAATTTTCATTTATGCTGCATAGTATTGCTTAACGGTTTCCATTTATGATGGGCAGGGCTAAAGCATTTGCTGATATTCAAGCACAACATTAAGTCTGGACTATATACCTCTTGTTTTAGTGGTTAAGGTGTTTCATCTATTCAGATTGTGTAAGAAATTATTGGGGCTGCCACTGATGAAGCCTGTGATCACATCTAACATTCTTACTGCTTTCAGAACTGCTCATATAACCTTAAACTCACTTAAGTATTTCATTGCATTCTCTGCATTTGCCGCGACTGAAATCTCATTGTCTAAATATCACTGACACATTCCTGCGAACATAGCTCATTTTCCTACCTAAAAGACTGAATTCAGGGTTCAATATTATTTCATGGCGTTGTAACTGTTTTACTGGAAGTGAAGAACTGTTATTAATTCATCTTGGTTAAATTGTCAAAAGCAACATATTGTCAGCTACTTAAATATTTAGTTTTTTCCACCTCCACAAAGTTTGATGGTTACTGATTTTAATAGTAGCTTGGTGCAAATGTAGACAACTTAACGGAGTAAGAAATTGAAAAAACGGAGATGCCTGAAGTACTTGAAAAATCTTCCTAACTCAGAACCCATCTGTTTTCCCAAAGGAGACATACAACGGATAAAAGGTCTAAGGGTGGCCACCAAAAGAAACAAGTTGCTTCATTCCGCTTCATTGATTTCTTTTCCTCGGTTGGGGAAGATTGCAGTTATATAATGAACAGCACATTTTATATGTATTTCATTCAGACTAGGATGGCTTTGTTCTGTATAATCCTTCTAATATGCACTTACCCCTGTAAGAAAGAAAATGTTGAGAAAATGCTCTTGGCTTCCAAAATTTTCTATACAGGAATTGAAAGACCTTTCTATTCACACAAAGGACTGTGTTTGTGAGCTGTACCTTAAAGTGAGTCTGATTGTATGGCTTTAACTTGATGCAGTACGTGGCCATGTGAAATCTAGCTTTTAATGGAAACAAAGATAAGGAAATGTCTTTTTTTTTTTTCAGTCCTGGCTTAAATAAAATACAAATCCAGACTACAACTATCTTGTGATTTAGTTTTTTGCTTGTCAGTTAATTCCAGAAGATGCACAACATTTTAGGAGGCAGCATTACAGCACTGATTAATATTTCATTTAATATTGACCTTTTGAACCACAGTTTAAGATATGCCAGTTTTAAGATGGTTGCATTATTTTGGGAATCAAACCAGTAGGGGGCAGTGCTCTTCTCCCAATATGTATCCTTTTTTTTTCTTCTTTTTTTTAAGATGTAAAATATAAATGTGTACATGCATACATGTGAATGCATAATGTAGTATATAGTAGTTTTTTATTTATATATACATATGCTTATTTAGGTATACTGCCATGAGAACCAATTATGTTACAACACAAAGACAGTATTTACAGTGTTTCTAAATAAGTCCACAAGTGGTTTCCTAATCGTCTCTGCAGCTGTACTCCGTACCAACAGTTCATATTAAAAACTACCCAATACCAACATGCTGTCTAGGAAGACTACGCACTAGGATTTGGAAACTGACATACTGTGGCAAGCCAAATTAACATGTATTCATTTAACTAAATATTTTTGTTACAAGTACTGTTTTATCAGTAGTAAGTTAACCTTTAATGACTTATCTTTTTCAGTTTCAGCTACAAGTATCTAATAAATATGTAGGCTACTAGTACATCTGGAACACTTAGCAGCAGCATTTGGAACACATAGTAAAAAACATCCCCATAGAATTCAATATTCAAATGTTTCAATTGGTTTTAAGGAATAAACATTAAAACAGCTTGCCATAGCGACACTTTAAACTGCTGTGTCGTTTCGCATTTGATGAATCATATATTGCGATCTTCACCTGCATGAGGGAAGACAAGAACTCAAAGCTTGACGTTTAGAAGTATGACTGTTTCGTGCTTTTGTTTCTCTAACATCAGTCAGGACTTTACATGAAATCGTCTGTCCTCGCAGGAATGTAGTTTGGAGGGCGGAGACTCGCGGCAACATTACATTCTGCATCCCGAAGCTGTGAAATATTGACACTGCCATGAGAACAGCCGAGATCGTTCAGCACTGTTCATAACAAGATCCGAACACAGCGCAAAGATGACGGAGAGGTGGATGTAGTGTTTGGGCTCGGGGTCTGTAGGTAATACACACGGCTGGAGTTTACGGTGATCGTTTTGTAACAAGGGTTGTTCTTTGTTGAGACATTGTTTTCTGCCTGGCTGTTTTCAGAGGACCAGTGGACAGCTCTTCATTTCAGCCCCGAATCTGCTCTTGTATCTGGGCGGGACGTGGAGATAAAAGAGTTCAGCATGAGGAATAACGAGGAGACTGAGGGCTTTGATGGCGAGGCCTCCAACACCTCGATGATTTCAGGAGCCAATAGTCCGTATCAGCCGACCACCGAGCCCGTGCACTCCAGAAACGTGTTCAGGGCCATCAGGTGTGACCTGGACTATATCAAATCACATTTCGGTATTTTAAAAATTATCGAAGTGGTAAGTTCAAATAGTCACAGTGTTTCTCCGTTCCATGATAAACAGGTTGTATTGGCAACACATTTAGAGTCAGTAAGGTGACATCCTGTGAACAAGTCAAGATGTCTTCATCTTCAGCAATGTCATCATTTTCTTTCTTTCTTTCTTTCTTTCTTTCTTTCTTTCAGTTAGATTGTTGGTGTGAGAAAGACACTTGTCCCATTTTTAGATTGTGAGTAGGACAGCAGAAGTCCTGTCTTCATCAACAATGTCATAGTTTGTTTTTTTTCTTTAATAGTTCTTTCTTTCTTTCTTTCTTTCTTTTAGATGCTCCTTCCTGATGATCGTATTAGTGTAGGCATGACAAATTTCCCTTTTTTTTATTATAAGTCAAAACATTCAAGGCAAGACAGATGTCTTCATCATCCAAACAGTGGCCTCAAAAAGCCTTTTCCACACAAGATAACAGATCTGCTTTCCACATATTTCAGTTAGATATTCACTCCTGATTACATTCTTCTCATATTGGATTAGTGTGAGGAGAACAGATTTCCTCCTTTTTGGGTTTTTAAATCAAAATATTTCCTGTTGGATACTTGCCGACAGGCGTCAAAATCTCTGGAATGCATCAGTGACGGAGGGGAATGTTGCCTGGAGTCTGAATGAATTAACTTTCGGATTGCACTTTATGTCTGCTTGATTGGCAAAACACCCAAAAAGCTATAGAGTCACTGTGGTCAAACTCACAGAAGAGCTTTTTTTTGCCTGTGACTGCCAGATGTTGAAAAAGGAGTGGGAAGTGTAAGGAGAGAGAAAAAAATTATGGCTGTCTGTTCAATAGTCCGTATCAGCCGACCACCGAGCCCGTGCACTCCAGAAACGTGTTCAGGGCCATCAGGTGTGACCTGGACTATATCAAATCACATTTCGGTATTTTAAAAATTATCGAAGTGGTAAGTTCAAATAGTCACAGTGCTTTTCCATTCCATGAAAAATGTATGAGCTAAGAAAGTTTTTCTGTACTGAACTTCAGCCAGGTGTACTGGCAACAAATTTAGAGTCAGGTGACTTCCTGTGAGGAAGTTAAGATGTCTTCATCAACAGTGTCATTATTTGATTTTCCTTCTTTCATAAATTTAATTGTCTTTCTTTCTTTCTTTCTTTCTTCTTTCTTTGTTACATTGTATTAATGTGAGAAAGAAATCTCCCAATTTTTAGATTGTGAGCAGGACAGCAGAAGTCATGTCTTCATCAACAGTGCCATCATTTATTGTTTGACATTTCTTTCTTTCTTTCTTTCTTTCTTTTTTTCTTTTAGATGTCCCTCCCTGATGACATTCCTCTCATGTTAGTTCGTATTAGTGTAAGCAAGACAGATTTCCCAGTTTTTGCATTATAATCAAAATATAGCTGCAAGCAGTGATACAGGGCCAAGCCCCGAAGGTGCAGCAGGCACAGCAAGCATAGCAACCACTGCTACTTCAAGCCCAGCATGTACAGCAAGCATAATAATCACAGCAAACTCATCAAGGCACATATCACACTTAACAGTCAAAAGCTTTACAATGTGCATCTCAAAAGTTCAAAACACTTAAAATTTGGACAAGAAATTGGACAAAATTTATAGGAGGAGTAGCGAAAATACCGTTTTCATTTACTTCAATATGGAGGACAGGCAAAATAATGGAGTCTGGATAAATTTATGAAAAAATAAGCATGGCTCATGTATGCACATATGATCAAATTAAATGAAGATTATTATGAAATGGTCAATTGAAGTGCTTGTGAAGCGGGGATTAATACAAACTGAACATGCACAAAAGTGCAAGGGGTTCACGTTATTTGAATCAGAATACGAAGCTGTCACGTGGTTGTGTGCGTAAACGAAGCTTCGGATGTTGCAGATCATGTGGTTTTGGCAAAACGAATCAAGCTCCAGGAACAGTGCTTCATTGTGAGATGGTTTTTTTTTTTTCGATACAAGCTTTGAAGGCTCGAACGTCGCATCACTAAGATATTGTCAGAATTTACATAACCCAGGAAATGAAAAGAAACAAAAAGAACAAAATTTCGACAATGTTTTCAAAAGTTATAAGCATTTTTGCAAAAAATCATTATATCTCTGGAACACTAGGAATGTGTTCAAACTTCTCAGGTACTTCTGGGACATGCTGTTGATGATTCTTACCAATTTTTGTGCCGATATGTCAAATTGTTCAAAATAAATTAAAATTTATGTAAAATTTCAAAATGAAAGTTATTAGCAAAAATAGCAAATTTTCATATCTCATGATCCATAGGAGGCACTGTTGCCAAATTGGTAACATTGATTGGCATAGACCCTCAGGTCATGTTGCTGATGAAGTGTACCAAGTTTCATTTCGATTAATCAAAAGTTTGGCCGAGATACAGCCTCTGAACCAATTTTGGGTAAACATTAAGTTCACAACATCATAACTTTTGAACAAAGATGAATATCAAAATTCTGTTCAGTTGTTTCTGTGCGGCTCAGAACAAAGAACATCCATGCCGATTTTCAGAAGAATTGGAGACATTTTAAAGGAGGAGTAGCAAAAAAAAACGAATACTGTACTTTTCAAAATGGCCACTACTGAGTTTTCATGTAAGCTATTGAATGTAATCAGAACGAAGAGTGGAATCAGATTAACTAAATTTCATTTTTCTATAACAAAGGGTTCAAATGTTATAACTGTTTGAAAAGTGAATATTTGAACTGGTGGTGGCGCTATAGAGTTTGTCCTAGAGACCCCAAAGTTGGTCAGATCACTAATCAGGACCACCACTACACGTGTGCCATTTAGGGGCTTGGCCTCTAAATATTCAAGGCAAGACGGATGTCTCCATCCAAACAGTGGCATCAAAAAAAGCATTTTTCCGCACAAGATAACAGATCTGCTTTCCATATTTTCATTTAGATATTCACTCCTGATTACGTTCTTCTCATATTGGATTAGTGTGAGGAGAGCAGATTTCCTATTTTTTGGGTTTTTAAATAAAAATATTTCCTGTTGGATACATGCCGACAGGCGTCAAAATCTCTGGAATGCATCAGTGACGAAGGGGAATGTTGCCTGGAGTCTGAATGAATTAACTTTCAGATTGCATTTTAGGTCTGCTTGATTGGCAAAACACCCAAAAAGCTATAGAGTCACTGGTCAAAACAGAAACTCACAGAAGAGTTTTTTTGCCTGTGAACCTCTGCCAGATGTTGAAAAAGGAGTGGGAAGTGTAAGGAGAGAGAAAAAAATTATGGCTGTCTGTTGTTTTGCTGGCTCAGCAAAAGCAAAGCATCTCAGATCGGGCCCTCATGGTGATGCACAGTTAAGAAACTGCATGCACGGGGGAAAACAGAGTGAAACTAAGGAAGTTATTAGGTGAAACAAGGGCTTGTGTATGCTGCCAAAGGAAACAACCTGTGTGCCAAGTACAGAAGATATAGCTGAGATAGTGGACATATGGAGTACATGCAGCACTTTTATCTTCATGAACTTAGGCCCAATCCCAATTCTATTTTATACCCCTTCCCCTTCCCCTACCCCTCCGCCTACCCCTTGTCCCTTGAAACAGAGCGTCAAGGGGTAGGGGTGAAAATATTCCCCTAAGAATTGGGGCACCACTACTCTGCCGTCACACGTCATCATACGTCGTCTAGCTCCTACAATACA